CTCTTCATTAAAATGGCTCATACGAAGAACACTTGTTGACAAATGTGAACAATTTAAAATCTCTGCAGATTTAAGCATTTTCCTTCTGGCGGGTCCATCCAGCAAGTGATACTAATTAGGAGCTTTTATTAACCTTGAGATCTGGAGGAGGGGGACTTCTTACTGACTCTGGATGGCTCAGGCATGCCAGAGGGCTAAAGGTTCATCTAGAAACAGCTGCAGAGACAGCAGAGCATAAAGCTCCGGGTGGCAGCTCTTCCTGGGGCAGCCGGACTGCCCAGATGGCCCTTCCAGAGCTGGGAAATGCAGACTTGTCCCTGAGGTGGAGGGTAAAAATAGTCCCGTGTGGGTGGTGGCTGGGCCCAGAGGCACTGGCTTCCTTTTCTCTAGAGCAGGGGGAGGCAGTCAGTTGACAGACTCACCCTTAGGCTCCTGAGCCCCTCTAAGCCCAGGCTCAGGGGAGTCTCTCCCCAACAATGAAGCAGCCCCACCCCCACCCCCACCCCCAACACATACACATACGGAAGTGCTGGAAAGAGTTTCAGCTTAGTTGTAAGGTAACTAAGGATTTAAATCCTAGCTGTGCTATTACCAGCTCCGTGACCTGGGACAAAATTCTTCTCCTTTCCAGGCCTCTGTTTTCTCATCTGTCGACTTGTTTCTTTCTACAAGTCTTGCTGTGAAGATTAAATAACAATGAGAGCCGACAGGTTTCACTCTGTAACCTTACTCTTCTGTCCCTCTCCCTTCTATCCAGGTCCTCACCTTCTAGCACATTCTTCAAGAGTGACTCTGAGGCAAGCCAGCCGCCATGTCATGAGGACACTCAAGCAGCCCCATGGAGAGGTCCGATGGCGAGGAACAGAGGATGCCCCTGCCGATAGCCAATGAGGAACAGAGGCCTCCCAACAGCCATGTAAGGGGTCACCTTGGAAGCCAATGGCCCCTCCCTACTCAGGCTTTTACATGACTGCAGTCCTGGCCAACGCCCTGACGGCAATCTCATGAGAGACCATGAGCCAGAGCCACCCACCTAAGCTGCTTCTAGGTTCCTGACCCTCAGAAACCATGTGAGATCATAAATGTTTGCTCCATTTGAGATATTTGTGATGCAGCAATAAATAACAAATACACTTACCTTTCAAGGTTATTATAAGAATTAAGAGTTAATACACATCAAACTACAACCAAACTTGCTGGGACCAGAGGCTCAAGAAAGGGCAGACAGGGCCGGGCGCAGTGGCTCACGCCTGTAATCCCAACACTTTGGGAGGCCGGGGTGGGAGGATCACCTGAGGTCAGGAGTTCGAGACCAGCTGGCCAACACGGTGAAACCCCGTGTCTACTAAAAATACAAAAATTAGCCAGGCGTGGTGGTGGATGCCTGTAATCCCAGCTACTCGGGAGGCTGAGGCAGGAGAATCACTTGAACCTGAGAATTGGAGGCTGAAGTGAGCAGAGATCATGCCACTGCACTCCAGCCTGGGCGACAGAGTGAGACTCCATCTCAAAAAACAAAAAACAAAAACAAAAAGAAGAAGAAGAAAGGGCAGACAGAAACCACAGAAGGAGGAGTGGTTAGCTGGGTCCAGGCCAGGTGGGGTCCTGCTCCTGACGTGGATGGGTCTGGGAGACCAAATATGCAAATGGACAATGGCCAGACCACATATGAAAATAGAACTCTGCCCCAAAACCTACAGCAACAGCCCGGGAAGCCAAAGAACAACCCCTGCAGCAATCAGCCCCAAATGGCCAGGACTTGATGGTAACTGACAGCTTCCCTAATTTTGTCCCCACTTCCAATTCAGGACAAACTGGAGAAAGCCAAATATGCTCCCCTAACCAATTACTTAGGGTGCCCCTCTTCTAATGAGCCCAACTGTAACTTTCCTGCACCACCAACAGGACGTACCTGAAGCCTTCCCCTTTTCCACTATAAAGCCTTCTCCCTCTGCCTGCCTTTGAGTCTCCACGAAAAGCAAGTGACAGTGGCTGGCTCCCTTACTGTAGCAGGCTCTGAATAAATAACCTTTGCTTGCTGTCATTTGGGTGGTCTTTGTTTATGTCCACAAGCCCAAGGTCTCTCTCTCCCTTCCTGCTCCCAGGTCAAAGACGTCTTTGTCCCTCCCCAGTACCTCCCCCAGGGATGATGGAAGAGAGGGGCACGGGGATAATGAAGAGCGTGGCTTTGGAACAGGACAGATCTGGGCTGAAATTCTGGCTCTGATACTTAACTAGCTGCGTGATCTTGAGTAAGTCAGTTAAACACTCAGTGCTGCTGTTTCCTCATGTCAAGGGGACAGTCCGGCAGAACCCAAAGGCTGGTGTGAGAATTCAGGGAGGTAATATATTTAATGCACTGGACATGTAATAGGTACTTAATAAAGGAGAGGTCAGCCACCATGCCAGCCTCTTCACAACTCGCTGGAGTGGGCAGGCCCCCATTCTGCATCCTCACTCAGCCCACCCCTTTCCTTTACATCAGGCAGTCTGACTTCATCTGGATGCAGTCAAGGTACGGACTCCAAGTCCAGGGTATAGCAAAAGCCAGGGACTGGTTTCAGACAAAGGATATAACTGAACATTTCTCTACAGAAATCCAACTGGGCCAAAGCAGAGGACAGAATGTTCAGGCCAGACACCTGCTTACTCCCTGTTCTGTCCTGGCTTTGAGGGGTGATCAGGGCAGGGAGAGTCTTGCTCAGAAAACTGCGTGCCTTTGCGCCAGGCCAGCTTTCCCAGGACTGAGGAGCCTGAGCCAGGTTGTTCCCCAGTCTGGAGTGTCTGTGTGTGCCTCAGTTTCTTCATCTTTAAAGTGATAATTTTGCCAGGCACAGTGGCTTACACCTGTAATCCCAACACTTTGGGAGACTGAGGTGGTAGATCATCTGAACCCAGGAGTCCGAGACCATCCTGGGCAACATAGTGAGACCCTGTCTCAACAAAAAATAAAATAAAAAATTATGGTGGCACATGCCTGTGGGCTCAGCTACGCAGAAAGTTGAGGTAAGGGGATCACTTGAGCCAGGTGATCGGGGCTAAAGTGAGTTGTGATCGTGCCACTGTACTCCAGCCTGGGCAACAGAGTGAGATCCTGTCTCAAAAAAAATAATAATAATAATAAAATAATAATTTTAATGACTTACCAGGATATACACACAAATAATGAGTATCAGGATGGGTATGGGTGTCTTAGTCTGCTTTGTGCTGCTATAACAGGATGCTTGTTATAAAGAGGGCAATTTATAAATAGAAATTAATTTCTCACAGTCTAGGGGCTGGGAAGTCCAAGATCAAGTGACCAGCATCTGGTGAGGGCCTTCTTTCTGCATTATAACATGGCAGAAGACATCACATGCCAGAAAGAGAAGAGAGACAAAGAGAATGAGGGGTGGAACTCATCCTTTTATAAAGAACCCACTCCTGAGACAATGGCACTAATCTATTCATGAGGGTGGTGCCCCCTGACCCAAACAATGGCAGCATCACGCCCGCCCCACCTCCCAACACCTCCACATTGGGGATCAAGTTTCCAACAGATAAACTTGGGGAGACATATTCAAACCATAACAGGGAGCAGAGGCTCTGTGATGCCTGTGTGTGGGGGCATCCTGAATCCCTTCACTCCAGTTTGCCAAGCCGTTTCCACCCCCTTGTCTCCCACTTCGCTGTCACTACCGGAATTCAGGTCTCCAGGCAGCGTCTTTTGCCTGCATTATTGCAATAACAAAGTGTTGTCCTTACTCTCCTGCAACAATCAAAGCATACAAATTAACATACGGGTGGGAAACCACCCCTGCCCCTTCCCTACTCAGGCAAAGACTTAAAATAATGATAACGATGTCGGAAGTGGGGAGCCCCCTTTCGCCACAGAGCATGATTGTACACTAGTATATTTCTGGAGAGCAATTTAGTAGGAAGTACTTTTTGATTCTACAGGTACCATTTTTCTAAATGTCATCTAAATAAAAATCAGTTCTGGCACAAATACTTTGTTACAAGGCTCCTTACGGTAATATTGTTTCTGATGAAAGAAAAAGAAAAGAAATAAAGAAAAGAAAAGAAAGAAGGAAGGAAGGAAGGGAGGAAGGACAGAAGGAAAGGGAGAAGGAAAGGGAGAAAGAGGAAGAAGGAAAGAACTCAGACATCCAACAGGAAGCTTGGTTAAATAAATTGTGTAGTCCATACCTTAAAATGCCATTCCTTCACTAAAAATGATGTTGTAGATCAGTAGTTTGTGCATCACGTGGGAACTGTTAGAAATGCACATTCTGGGGCCCCTTCCACATCTGATTCAGAAACTCCTGGGGTTGGTGGTTGGAGTGCGGGGAGTGGGGTGCAGGAGGTGGAAGCAATCTTGGGTTTTAATAAACCCTCCAAGGCAATTCAGAGCCATAGTTGTAGACGACCATCGCTATGGAAAGTTACACTGTTAAGTGAGGAAAGGTTAGGAGGCAGTAAGCAGGAACAGTGCATCCCTGTATCTGTTATCTAGAGAGAGGCACAAATAGAAAAAGTCTGGGAGGAATTTATACCCAGGTGATAACATCGACACTCTCTAGGAAGCAGGATTATAAGGTTTTAGAGTAATTTTGGTAATTCATGTTTTCTAACTAGTCTACAATGACTATGTTTGTGTAAAAAGGAAAGGAAAAAAAACCCAGTAATTTATTTTTTAATTAAAAAAAAAAAAAAGTTAAATGGGACCAAGTTGGGGGGGTGTAGGGAAGGAGGCAGAGAGCCCGCCTCGCTGCGACAGCTTTCACCCTGGGAAAGCTGGGAGGCAGGACCGCCCAGGAGACCCGGGGCCAGTGGGGTGGGCAGCGCCAGGAGTCCCGGCGACTCCTCTGATGTCTAGCAAGGCTTACAAGGGTTTAAATAATAAGCCAAGAGAGTCAGGGCAGACTTCCGTAATAACTTCACTGCTAAGGGTATCAAATCCTGGAATGGGCACCTTGGAGAGATTTTCTAGACAAGAACGGACAGCGGGTATCAGGAGGGGGTGGAGTTTCGCCGGCCAGAGGACAGAGGCTGCCCGATCTCCGGACCCCCTCCGGCATCGGGACTCCGGGAAGGCTGCGCCCGCGGCGGGATTCCCGCCCCTCGGAGATGTTGCAGGGACCGGCGGGGCGGGGCCGGGCCGTCGCTAGGGGAGGGGCGGCCGGGCGTGCGAGGAACCCAGCTGGCGACCGCGACGCACACTAGGTTCTCCGGCTCCAGCTCCTGCGCCGCCTGTTGCTCGCTCCTCCGGGCAGCCGCTTCCCGCCCGGTGCGCAGGAGTAGGCGGCCCGAGAGCGCGCAGGGAGCCTCCCGCTTTCGTCCCCTCCCCGCACTGCACGAGCGGATCGGAGGAGCCCCGAGTGTCCCTGAGAGCGCGGACGTGGGCGAGCAGCCCAGTGCACCCGGGACTGCGCGCCGAGACCCCCGGCGCCGCGCCGCGATGAATGCGACCTTCCTGAACCACAGCGGCTTGGAGGAGGTGGGCGGCGTGGGCGGCGGCGCCGGGGCCGCCCTGGGGAACCGCACCCACGGGCTGGGCACGTGGCTGGGCTGCTGTCCCGGGGGCGCACCGCTGGCCGCCAGCGATGGAGTCCCCGCGGGGCTGGCGCCCGACGAGCGCAGCCTGTGGGTGTCACGGGTGGCGCAGATCGCCGTGCTCTGCGTGCTGTCGCTTACCGTGGTCTTCGGCGTCTTCTTCCTGGGCTGCAACCTGCTCATCAAGTCCGAGAGCATGATCAACTTTCTGGTGCAGGAGCGCCGGCCCTCCAAGGACGTGGGTGCCGCCATCCTGGGGCTGTACTGAGCGTCATCTGGGTCCGCCCTCGCCAGCGCTGCTGCAAGAAGGACCCCGGAGACCCGGACCCTCGCCCGGCTCTCTGCGCTCTGCGCTGCCTCCGGGCGGGCAGCTACGTGCCTGGGGCGCCAGGGCGGGGACGCGGCGAGACTCTCGGCGGGGGCGCAGGAAGGGACTTGGACGCCTGGCTCCGTCCTGTGTGGGCTGCAGCGTGGCGGGGTGGGAGAGTGGGGGATGAGGGTTCTTACCAGTTTTGTTGTTGTTGTTGTTGTTGTTTGTTTTTTAAGACGTTCGGGGCAGGTGGGAGTGGGTGTGGGGATGCAATTTGGGACTGCGGTCGCTCGCGTGGGAGTTTTGTGTGTACGTTGTTGGTACGGGTGGTTTCGGAGCAGGGTGCGGGGAGAGTGGGTGAAGATGTGAAGCGTCAGAGTCGCTAAGCTTGTTGGCCTGATTTTGCGTTTGGAAAGAAATCTTGTAATAAAACTGCAGCCGTAGGGCTTCAGGCAGCTTCCCCCCCGCGCCTGTGGGGTGTGTGTGTGTTGCGGGGCCGAGGGCATGTACCCTCCTGGCGGACCCTTTGAGCCCCTTGGGAGATATCTAGTCCCTGCGTGGACGCCTGACTGGGGCGCCCACAGCGCAGGTCAGGGGATCCTGGGGCTCCACGCCGAGGCCAGAGCGAGGAAAGGGAAAGGGAATCGTTTTCTAAGGCCAACAGCGGAGAAGGCAGGTCCTGTGGGACAGCCAGACAGCTGGTGAGATTAATTAAATCACTGGATATATGAGTCTTCTATGAGATGAAACAAAATCAGTCAGCTGAGTCCAAAACGGAGAAAACGTGAACAAGGAAAACTCAATTTGGCAAAGGAGAAAAACTAGATTTAATTAAAAGTTTAATTATAAGGCCAAAAGCCCCTTCTAAGTGCTTGCTTTGTCCCTACCCTTATAGCGGGCAGGTGAGTAGACGGAAGAAACCCCCTTGTTGCATCCTGTAGGGGTGGGGGTTGGCAGCTTTGTGGTGGGGAAGTCCCAGAATGTTTATTATAAAATGGAGAAAATGGCCTCCAAGCGCAGTTGCCTGCAGGGGACTTGGAGCCTCCCATTACAGGATGCCCCAGCTGCCCAGAAACCCACGCCTCCTGCAGGTGCTAACTTCCCTTGCAGCAGTGTGGAGCAGCAAGAATTGACTACTCCCTGGCGGACAGGGAGAGGACAGCTCTGCTCTCTGGAAGTGGGGGACAGGGGGACCTGGGGACACCGGAGGAGAGAAGGCTGGGCTTTCTGGCCTATGTATCCCCTACCATCCTTTGTCCTAGTGCCAGCCCCACTCAAGCGGTTCTTGGAAGATTCGGGGAGAGACTCTGGATTTCTCCCTTTCTTCTCTCTTTTGCTGTGGGTGGGAGTGAAGAATAACAAGGACGAAGGTGACTGAAGTCTTAGCTGGTTTTAGCTAAGAGAAGCAAAGGGAATGCCATCTCGTGTCTTTGGCACTAGTTTAATTAGGGAGAGGCTTGGCACAGGTGGGGTGGGGGAGTATCTCGAAGGCACAGATGGTCCCTGGCTATGAAGGATCCAGAGTCGTCCTGGCTCCCAAGTGCTCCTGTGCAGTCAGAATCATCATGATCAGGATGTGCCCTGTCCCTGGACCCTGGGACCAAATCTCAGACCTGGGAGAATTCGGGCCAGGCTAGGCCAGTGAGGCCAGGAGCTGAGATTCCTTGTAAAGTGTCTCTGGGGGCAAAACCCCGAATGCAGAGAATGTTCTGTTGATGGTTTGGTGTGACTTGCAGGAAGTCCAGCCTGATCTGGGGACAGCAGCCTTCACTGACTCAGGCAACCTAGATAAGTGGCTTCATCGTGTGAGGTGGTACAGTTATCTGGAGCCTGGGCTGCCCCCAGTGGCTTGAGGAATGCAGCTCAGACAGCTACAGGCATTCACGTAAAACCCTGAATGACCAGAAAATGGTTTCAGAAAGAACACAGGCTTAGACACTTTTCCACCGCGCCAAGTTAGAGCAAATATTACGAGAATTCTCCTCTAATAAAATGGGTCTGCTACTAAATGTGACTGGAGTGAGAAGACAGTGAGTCAAGAGTTAATTTTTTTTTTTTTTTTTTTTTTTGAGACAGAGTCTTGCTCTGTTGCCCAGGCTGGAGTGCAGTGGCACAATCTCAGCTCACTGAAACCCCTGCCTCCCAGATTCAAGCGATTCTCCTGCCTCAGCCTCCTGAGCAGCTGGGATTACGGGCTTGCACCACCATGCCTGGCTAATTTATTTTTAATTACTTTTAGTAGAGACTGGGTTTCGCCATGTTGGCCAGGCTGGTGTCAAACTCCTGACCTCAGGTGATCCACTCGTCTCTGTCTCCCTAAGTGCTGATATTACAGGTGTGAGCCACTGCGCCTGGCCAAATTTCTTTTTTAAAAACCTTTATCGCTAGGTGTAGTGGCTCACGCCTGTAATCCCAACACTTTGGGAGGCCAAGGCAGGTGGATCACGAGGTCAGGAGATCGAGACTATCCTGGCTAACACTGTGAAACCCTGTCTCTACTAAAAATACAAAAACTTAGCCGTGCGTGGTGGCGGGCGCCTGTAATCCCAGCTACTCAGGAGGCTGAGGCAGGAGAATGGTGTGAACCCAGGAGGCGGAGCTTGCAGTGAGCCGAGATCATGCCACTGTGCTCCAGCCTGGGTGACAGAGCGAGACTCCATCTCAAAAAAAAAAAAAAAAAAACTTTTATCATTTTTTTCTTTCTTTTCTTTTCCCCTTCCTCCCTCCCTCCCTCTTCCTTCCTTCCTTCTTTTCTTTTTTCTTCTTTCTTTCTTTACCTTTCTTTCTTTCCTCTTTCTCTTTCTTTCTCTCTCTCTCTCTCTCTCCTTCCTTCCTTCTTTCCCTCCCTCCCTTCCTTCCTTCCTTCCTTCCTTCCTTCGTTCCTTGACAAAGCAAGGTTAACGGTTCTGAATTTGCTGAAAAGGAAAGCCTTAGTGGGGACACTTTGCAGGATTTTCCCACTGTTAAAAAAAAAAAAGTGAAGATGGGTGTGTACTAACGTGTGTTTGGCTCCCCTGTGGTGTACCAGTCTGCACACGTGGGCACATGGCGTGAGTGTATGCTCACACATGCAGTTACACTCACAGGCACAGGCAGGCTCGTGCCTCAGGAGGAAAACAGCCAGCAAGAGTGGGGTCCTGAGAAGGGGTGAGGGTGAGAGGTCACATTTGTAGACCATCTTAGTTCTCCCCAGGAGTCCTAAGGCCTGCAGGGTGTTTACTGGGCTGCCTTATATAATCCTTGGGGTGGGGGGCGGGAACTCTTACATAAGGTAAGAGTGAATGAGGAACAGTGCTCGGGGCAGAGCCAGACAGAGCAGAATCCTGAGCCATCCAAGTGGAGGATAAAGAAGGGGCCTGGTTCTAGAAAGCCCCACTCACCCACAACTGCTGTCCATTGAGAGCTTTTCCCAGGATGCACCGGTAAATCTCAGAGGCCCTTGGGTTCACAAGAGAGAAGGCCTGGGATCCTGGTCTTCAAAATCCTGGCTGCCCTGCTTCCTAGCTCTGTAACTTTGGGGAAGTAGCTCAACCTCTCTGTGCCTCATTTTCCTCACCTACAAAATAGGAGCAATAGGGGACCCATAGCTTCCACGACGTGATGTGTTTTAAGAAGCCAGCATAATGCCTGGCATTCAATAGACGCTCAATAAGGACAATGAGGATTATTGTTAGTTTTGTTGATCATATAAACTTTCCCTAAAGTACATTTGGTTCTCTGAAATGGATTCCCTGGACAAAAAAAAAAAAGAAAAAAGAAAATGGCAATTCATATTTGAAAAGCATTTGCAATTTTCAAAGTACTTTCATAAGCATGATGAAAATAGTAGCGAATGCCTAATATGCCAAACACTGAGCTTCCACCCCCATGAAGGTTTTGCAACTGGTCCCATTGTACAGATGAGGAAACTGAGGCTGCAAGAGGTTGCAGTTGCCTGAGGTAGTGCAACTAGAAAGGGGCAGAGCTGGGATTCAAATCAGTTTCACTTGAGCTGACCTCCTTTGCTCCCCACAACACATTGGTAAGAGGAGCAGATGCTCCTCTAATTTCCTGTTTAGAGGAGAGGAAATTAAGGTTCTGTTTACTGATCTTGTCCAAGCTCATTCATTCCACCAGTGTCTATTGTGAATCTCCTGTGGGCTACGCACTGTGCCAGGCACTGGGGGAGCAAGGGGTGGCAGACCTAGAGTCTGGCCCTGGCCTGCAGTCCCAGAACCCCTGGCACTTACTTTGCTCCCCAGGTAGCTGGTTCCATGTGTCTCAGGGTCTAGGTCAAACCCTCCACATTCTGTCCTCTGAGTCGGGGACAGTACTTCTGGGGTCAGCTGTGCCTTCACTAGCAAGATGTCCCTTAGAACGGGGGAAGTAGGGAGGGCTTATGTCACCACATCCACTTACTTTCCCACTTGCTTGTCTAAGCCAAGTTCACACAGAGGGGTGCACAGCTGTGGCTGCTGGAGGTCACCCTCCCCAGACCCCAACTCAGTAGTAGATGGAAAGAAGCCTTGAGCATTGGGGGTGGCTTCAGAGGGAAAGAACTGAGCGTACAAGGTGGTGGGTACAGCAGAAATGGCCCTCATCCAGCATTCCAGTTTTGGGGGAAATGTATACGCATACACATATGTTGCACGCATGCGCACACGTTTAATAAAAAGGACTTAAGTGGGATTTCTGAGTAGCATGTCTTGAGTGCAGATTCGTGTCAAGAAAGCAAGATTCTTTCCTGTCAGTAAAGGTCACAGCAGATACACGGGGTGTCCAGGACAGCAAACCCTGGCTCCGCAGACAGGGCATGTGTCCTAGCCTCTGAGATGGCAGCATTGGGGGATGCTCTGAGGCAGCGCCTACTCACCCTTGCAGTCGTAGCTTTATTACTTAGACTTGAGATCCCATGACAGGTGCACTCCAGTCCGTGGATAAGGAGAGTTTAACCCATGGGGAACGCTAGATCTCAACAATTTTTTTTTTTTTTTTTGTATTTTTTAGTAGAGATGGGGTTTCACCATGTTAGCCAGCATGGTCTCAATCTCCTGACCTCGCGATCCGCCCGTCTCGGCCTCCCAAAGTGCTGGGATTACAGGCGTGAGCCACCCCGCCCGGCCAAGATCTCAACAATTTTCAACAACGAAGCAACAGAGGCTGGGTGTGGTGACTCATACCTGCATTCCCAATAATTTGGGAGGCTAAGGCGGGAGGATCACTTGAAGCCTTGGCAACACAATGGGACCCCATCTGTACACACACACACATACGCAAAAAGAAAAAAGCGGTGGCAGACTGAGCAAGCCAGCTCTCATATAAGGTGGTCATCTGGTTGTGTGGTTAGGTAATGGGCTCCAGATCACAATCAACTAATGAGTGGCAGAGGCAGTGGGTACAGCAGAAATGGCCCTCGTCTGACATTCCAGTTTTGGGGGAAAGGTATACACGTACACATGTGTGTTGCACGCATGCGCACATATTTAAT